GTGTGTAAGAAACAAGGTGTGATAGACTCTGATTGGATATTAAAAAGGAGCAAAGGCTCACCTTGCGAATTCCATTAACGTTAACAAGTCAACACATTTCGGAGATCCAGGCATACCTATCTCCCAAACTTTGCTGAGGTAGAATCTACCTACCTCAGCAAAGTTTGTATCTACCTGGTAGATACATCGTCGATGTCGATAAACATCCGGATAATAAAACGATGATGACCATTCCTTCACTCGATTCCTGCCATGTCAATAAACGATAGCCCAGCCAACCCGGTCGTTTAAGTTGACGACGCCCAATCCCGTCCCGGCAAGTTGGATTCACTCAATGCGCATATTCAACTAGTTAACGATCTAGAACGCTAAGAGGACGGGCATGAGACCAACAAGCATGGTGGTCCCGTGGGTGGACTCCGACGATTGAATGCGACTGGTGGCCGGCTTGACTGTGCTGTTCTTATCAGGGCGCTCCGTCGTAGTGGGGACAAAGGACCAGCTGGTAGGAAACGTGGTGGTCGTAGTAGGCATGACGGAAGGGGTGCGTTGAGTAGTTGTCGGAGCTTAGCCGTATTTGGAGGTGGTAGGAGGCGTTAACTTCAATCAACACATCGAGGGTGTCCAAGAACGTGTCAAAATCACCATGACATTGCCCTAGCTGTGCAGTTAAGAGAAGCACGACATCGCGGTTACGAAGCACTGGTGGTAACCGCATGACTCGCAAATTGCTGGTTGTGTGAACAATCCGTTCACCTAACGGTATCTTACTTTTCGTCCGAAAGGAGCCGAAATGTACCACAAATTTAAGTATATTCTTGCCCGAAAATGTTGTTTTTCTACTTTTGAGTTAGAAATCCCAACCTCCATTTCTATCTCAAATCCAGTCTCCGAAAACTCGCTATTGTGGTACGCCGTTGGAAGAGCTGCAGTACTTCGACTTATCCGCCCCCGACAACGGCACGCTGTTCATCCTTCTGTTCATCCTTCTGTCCATGTTTATCGCGTTTGGGTACGTCATGGCTGCGAGTGCGTCGGACACGATGGTGGTCGAGTATGCCCAGGCTGGGCATACGCAACAGGTTCTTGCTGGGCAGCCCAGCAAGAACCTGTTGCCATCCGCGGCCGCATCCAGAATCCAGACCACTATCTACGTCGTGCGCTCTCTCGCTGGCATCCTCGCGTAATGGTGAGTTCTCGCTGGGTGTAACAGACCAGCATCGCATCCGACGCGCAGTCGGCGATGGCGTACCCGAACGAAGCAAACATGGATAACACGACGAACACCGTGCTTTGGTTGGGGTCGTCCAGATTGAAGTGCTGGAGGTCGGCCGTCGGGACCATTTGCAGCGGCGTGCAACAATACTTGGTCTTTTCGCGGTTGAAGTACAGCTCGCCAACGACGAAATGTTATGATAATCAGACAGATATCGTGATGGCCCATTCGATCAACATCCACGGTTTGTGACCATCCACGGCTTGTGCTGGCAGTCGAAAATGGTGCTTGCCTTTTGGGGACGCAGGAAAAACAACCAACCCGAACGACGCCAACTTGCACGCGTACACGAAAATGTACACTTACGGGACGTCATCCCCGCACGTCGATGGTGTCTGTCGCTCTTGAGGTCGTTCTGGGACACCTTGACGAATCAGGCGAAGTACCTGTAGACAACACCGTCAAACGGGCTCGCGAGGTTGGTGATTGTCGAGATCAGGCCGTACATGGCACCGCCACTTCGACCGCCACAAACGCGGTCAGCGGGGACGTTGTCGGCCAGATCCATGTTGTTATAGTACCACTGGTTGCGCACGACGCCCCTGCGTCGCCTTCAAGGAATCCTTGCCTTCGAATGATGATAAGCCCGTCGACGAGGATCACGTCCGTGGTGCCCGCGGCGATTGTTCACCGCCCATTTCACTATAGCTCCCATCACGCCACCATGAACAGATTTCCAGAGTAACAAACAACTCATTGTCTAGCATCTTGTAGATCGAGTATGGACAAGTTGTCCAAGATGCTAGCCATCGAGGTGTTGAGGGGTTCGACCCCCGCACAGTACGTGACCACGTGTTACCGTAACGCAAAACTTAGATGTCTATCGCCTCACTATCAATGAATATTGGAACCGCCAGGACAACACGAGATATGCAATCTTTATTATACGCTACTTCAAAATGCAAGACTTCTTTTTCTATTTCTGGGGGCACTTGCCCGTGTTGGGGTCCAACACTCCGTTGCCCCCTGCGACACGGTAGCACTTGGTGGAGGGGAAGATAGACATGATGTTGCTGGACACGGCGAACGACACGCAGAACAAAAACAAGGACACGAGAATGCACCCCGCCACTTTGCTCTTGCCACCGCGCTCCTTCAGGGCCTTCGCTTCTGCCTTTTGGGGAGGCATCAAAAACAACCAAAACAACGACGCGGTCTTGAACCCGTATGAAATAAGGTACACGTACGTGACGTCCCACCGCACTTCGAGCGTGTCGGACTTGACGTCATTCTGACTTACTTTGAAGTACGAGTTGACGTATTTGTAAAAGATGCTGGCAAAGGGACCCGCGAGGTTGCTCACCGTGGTGATCAAGCCGTACGTGGCGCCTTCATTGCCCTTGTCGGCGATTTCCACGGCCACGTACGAGGACACGATAAAGCGGAGGCCATGGGGAAATTGCTCGGCCAACCCCACTCCATTAAAGAACCACTGGTTGCGCACGACGTCCCAGATCGTCAAGAACACGGTAAAGCCGTCAACGACGACCATCCCGAGGGTACCAGCGGCGATGGTCCAGCGCCAATTCCAGTTAAGCCCCCATTTGCCCACAATCACCAAAACAGAAGCAAACACCATATTCCCAAAGATGTTCGAGAGCGCATCGTTGAGAGGTTCGACCCTCGCCCAGTACGTCGAGATGGGCAACGTCGCAGTGGTGCGCACGCTGAAGAACACGTTGCTGAGGAATCGGAACAAACAAACTTGCCACAACACGCGACTCTGGAGAGATTCCCAAAACTTGCCCCACCATAGGGGGAAGGACACAGCCTCAGACTTCTTCTCCACGAGAACAAATATCGTCGAGAGCACCACCACAACACACGGCGCCAAGGCAATGCCATATGGAGCATTCGGCGACAACGCAAACGAAAACGACCCGCCGTAGTTGGGGCCGTTCAGCCCAAACGCACTCACGCAGTGAGAGAGGATGCCAGTGATCTCGCGCACGGTGTAGATAGCGGTCTGGATGCGACCGCGGATGGCAATAGGTTCTCGCTGGGCATATTCGACCACCATCGCGTCCGACGCACTCGCAGCCAAGACGTACCCAAACGCGATAAACATGGACAGAAGGATGAACAACGTGCCGCTGTCGGGGGCGGATAAGTTGAAGTACTGCAGCTCGGGCTCTGGCACCTTTTCTAAAGGCGTAGCGCAATACTTGGTCTTTTCGCGGTTGCAAAACGGCTCGCCGAACGGCGAAAATGCCAACACACTCAGACAGGTCATCGTGATGGTCCATCCGATCAAAATCCACGACTTGCGACGATAGCCATAGATGGGGACGCAATCCGACAGCATGCCAAAAAAGACCTTGAACGACCACCCGATCACAATCAACACTCTGTACGACGATGTTTGGTAACCTTCCAAGTTGAGGTAGATGTTGAAGATGGGATACTGCACTGCCGGGATTATGTTGTACATGATACCGATAGCGCCGTACTGCACGAACAGGGCAAACGCTTCGCGGGAGAACAAGTTCAGCGCACCCCCTTCAGCCAGCGCCCCTTCTTCCAGGTCCTTGGGTGATTTCGCTTCGACGTAACCATTATCGTCTTTGGCCGTGTTCGAGTGGATGTACGACACGCGTTCCTCCAAGTCCGCCGCCTCCTTGTTGCCGTGGCTTGCCATTGCAGCCGTGAAATTGAGAATGAATTGATTGTTGTGCCTCCACCAATTCCGCTGAAGGGAGGATCGATTCCTTGAAGGTCACAAATTACAGTAAGTCATTTCGTGGTAGACAGTCGTGTAGTAGCGAATAATGACAAACAAGATGGGTGGGTAGCAAATCATAAGGTTAACGATATAGGAATGGCCAAGTATGTCGCGGATATTCTCCAGAAATATACTGTCTCAAAGTTTGGAATTGCAAGAGGCCGCAATCAACGGGCTCCATCCCATGTTTCTGTTGAACGAAGAGTAGGAAGGGTGTAAATCTAACACAGGTACATAATACGACGTACTACAGGTATGGTGCACATCACCTACTGGTAGAAACTACCAACTTTTCACAAAATTTTCTGACTACTATTAAATATTCATATCTCAAAATTTCAGCAAGTTGAGTCGTACAATCACTCTTCGATTTGGCCAGTTGGAAGTTTTTAGATGAAGTGCACCATACTACTGTAGTAGTACAAAGCTAACTCGTGCATACTGCGGTACTACGTAGTACTAGTACTACGTAGTACTACATATCTAGACTGTAGTACCGTGCACTAACTACTACTTCGAAGTACTAGTATAAGACAGTACTGTAGGACAGAACTTCTACAGGATTAGTAGATTGTAAATGACACCATGTTTCTATTTGGTCAGCTTTTTCTGTACGCACAACTGATTCACGCCATGTGCCTCGTATATTCGATATATTTCATCACTCCCCTTCTATTACGTAATAGTAACTGTTAGTAGTACTTCTTACAGGTCCCTTTGTACGCCGGAAACTATGGGAAAACGTTCAAGAAATCTGACTACCGTTCAGCCAAGACTGAAAACCGTTCAAGCAAAAAATTTCTTCCCGTAACCTTGTAACCCCGGGACTTCGTCCTACCCCTGCGTGCACATACTTCGAAGTACTTCGAAGTATAATGCTAAATCCCGTAGTAGGAGTTGAGGTGGTCAGAGTACAAAAAATATACCTCCTCTTACTAGAGTTTATTAGTTTGAACGGTTTTCAGTCTTGGCTGAACGGTATCCAGATTTCTGTATTGAACGTTTTTCGGGGTTATTTGTCTGCGACAGATTGTATTCGTTGCATGTACTTACTACCAGTACTCCAGGTACTACTATAGTACTAGTATTAATAGTACAGTAGACCTGACAAGGTGTGATTGACAGTTCTGGTTGGCTACGGACATGATTATCGCAGTGCTTGATTTACTCGAGTAGTATATCATAATATCTTACTGCCAGTGAGTACCTACTTCATACGTCAAACGTCAAAACATGCGTTCAACGTTTCCTATGTTGCAACAATAAAATTTCGTTGAGCCAAGATGAGCAGGATTGAGAAGGATGCCGAGAATACAATAATTTATCATAGGTAGTCAATCAGTGATATATAATTGTGAGGACGAATGTATCGTCCAACTGATTTGTGACAACGTGGGAGGCGCACTTACGCGGCCATGATAGCGTACTGGACCCGCCGTCAAAGGCATGGAACGGCAGCCAATCGATGTCAGCAGACAGTGGAGTGCAGCGTCGAAGCAATACACTGAAGAGTCTACTGAGGAGGGTGTAGTACAGCGACGATGACGGAGGTCTCTGCAACACTCCTCCGTCCACCATTCTCGTAAAAAAATTTGTGGGTTCGATCCCTGGCTTCCCCGGATGATTTCCGCAAGGATTATCCGTCCCTCCCCTGGGAAATCCGGATAACAAGGGCTCCGTACGAAGACGAGGACCAAACTTCCAAGAAGATCCGTCGAAGCACGAGGTATGAAGCGTCGAGCGAAGTAAAAACCGATGATTACACACCGCCTCTGATCGAGCAGGCGTGTTACAATTGGCGAAGCGGTTCCACAATATGTGGTTCTAGTGTCGGCCCTCACGGAGGAATGTCTTAAAAGTGCCCGACAGCTTCGAGGGTGCCTTTGAGCATTAACTTTTGTTACAAAAATGTTAGTCAGAAACGTTTAATATATCATATGTAGCGTTCGGTCCACTCTACAACTTGCTATTTTGAACGAATCCCGAATGTTTATAGTCTTGCCATAATGATGCTTCAAAGTTTCAAAACTAGCGAATTTTCATCCTATAAATATATACATTTATCCATCTAATTATCGGCCCTCCTGTGAGTAATGGGAATACATATATTATGACCGATTTATTGGATATTATTCAGTATAATACGTTTTCATTGGTCTAAACTATGACAACTATATTGCTGGGTCGCA